CCTGTGAAACAAATTCTTCAAAGTGCTCTCGATCCACCGAAGATTCTATTGCACCTAAAAAAGTTACATTATTATTTCAAGTCAAGCTGTTAATTGAACTAGATGATTTATTTGTAGGTATAAGTAAAATAAAGTTAAACTCACAAAGAAGATTCATTTTGTTTGTTTTCACAAAGCTACCATCAGGTAATCCTAATGCCCATGGAATGGGACTCAAAGAATAGCATAGTATTTGTTTCAAAGTTAGACCTTCTCTACTTTTCGCAATAACTAATAATCTCCCAAACATGCTTCGTTCTGATGTGATTGTGTACGATTTTTCTTTGACGTGATAAATTTTTTTCAGATTCAAATTTTTAAATGTTTGCAGGCGACACATTTTGATTGGAGCGTAAAAAGATACTGTCGAAGATTGAATGCGTTCTTTAAAAAACTTTTGGAACTCTGTTTCTCCGATGGATTGTGCATTCAATAAATGTTCTTCTAACTCATCAGGTGCTTCTATTCCAGAACAAATATTAACCAAAGAATCTCTTTGCTTGAAAGGACTTCCCCAATTTTTCATTAGCATCAACGCTCTCTCTACACATCCATTGTTGAAATCTTTTCTTGATGGTTTTAGATCTTTTGGTGATTGTTTTCTAGTTGTGATTCCTAAGTTATTTTGCAAAATTGAGATGCATTTTGAAACGGTATGACTTGTTAGTATCCAGCGTTGGATGGTTCCTTCACACGTACTATAACCTTTTATTCCCCCGCGGCATTTCTGATCGCGATTGATTGTTTGTTCAATGCATTGATCAGATGGAATTTTGTTAAATGTACCGCTCGTTCTTCTTACTGAAAAGTTTCCATCCCTGTTTTTAAAAAGATATAACATTATAAAGCAGTTATTTAAATGCATTTTTACAAATTTTAAACTCCAAATAAAAAAGTATTTTTAATACAAGCTTACATAAATTGTTGATAAACACTAGGATGAGTTTTAGGAAGTTGAGTCATTTCGGTCCAATAAAAAGTTAAGTAGCGAGAATAATTTGGATGATCATATGCAAAAAACCACGGTATCATTTGGCGTGTTGCCTCCAAATGAAGATTCCAGTTACCAACCTTCGTTGAACGTAGCAAAGCAAAAAAAATATTTAACATTTCGATAAAGGAAAACCAAAATGCGGAAGTTGGTCCGGAAATTTTTATATCTTTTAACACGTTTGAGTGGTCATCTACAGCTTTGCAGAAGTCATCATCAAACAACAATTTTAAATTGTCATAATTTGTCTAGAAAAAATAAAAATATAGTCATGGTATCAAAACCAAATTTCTAAAAAATAATCCATCTTATGTTACGGCGCAAATACTTACCTCCTTTAAACAGTTAATGATTTCAGGTGAAGAAGCGAAGTGATTCAATGAAGAAAGATTGTTTTCAATTAACCAACTTTCAAAATGTTTTATCCTCAACTGTGTCAGTGCATTGTACAGGTATTTATAAATTCGGACGGCACGGTTATAATGCTTTCCTTTCAAAATACGGTCCACAGAACTTTTACCTTTATAAAACACATATATAAATATTAGATACTTTTCACTTACTTGGTAAAAAGCAACATTTAACTACGTAATGTAATGTATGAAAATTTTGAATAAGTAAAAAATAACTAACCACATAATTCAGCTTCAATTATCCAATCTTGCAATCCTGCATCACTAAACCTTTTACCAATAACAGTTAGAAATATACAAGATATATGAAATACACCCATTCGGAGGACAATAAACCTTTTAAGATCAATGTAGCTAGGATTCATCAGAATTTCTACCGCTTTGGCATATATAGCTTGATCCACTACAACGTCAGTTTCTGTAAGACCAAGATTTTCGGCTTTAGCTTTGGAATGGAGCAGAACTTCAAGCACAGTGTTTAAGTTGGTAGGCGATGAGTTAATAGCTGGGAGATAGCTAATAGTGTGTATATCTTCAGGTGTCTTTTTAGGTGTAATTAGATAATTAAACCCCGTCCAACTAGGGATATGATCAGAAAAATAATATAGTAATGTCCAAAAAAAATCCAACTTCTCTGACACTTCCAGTAACTTAGTGTCTCTTGATATTGCGTTTGAATGACGTAAGTGATCTGGTTCTTCGCGATTATGCTTGACATACAGCGGCAACTGATTTTCAATTGCTTTAAAAGATCTTTCTCTGTCTCTTGTAACCTTTTCATTTACACGATCCTTGTGTACTTGATCAACTTGGTTTTGTAACTGAATAACAATGCCATTAGTAACGTGCATAGAGGTTCCGTTTAATGTTTCGGGATTTATGTCATTGTTGTCCCAGACGAAGGTCACGAATCTTGAGGGCTGGAGAACAGAAGGGCAAAAACTTTTTAAATTTTGATTTTGTATTGCATTTTGTGCAAGAGTTGTCTCTAAATAGTTTACTTCATCATAGGAAATTCCATGTCCTAATTTATTTAACCATTTGATCAATTCCTTTGACCCAGTTTTTCGTTTGGTACTTAAGCCAAGTAACACGTGTTTAGAGCATCGATGATCGCCGTTTGTTATATTATAAATTACATCTTCACAAAGAGAAGTTATTTTTACAAGCCCTTTGTTGCTCACTCTAGCACAAAATAGAACTTTTGCAAAAAGTCGACGGAGAAGAGGAGGAATTTTAGTCTTGACTCGTAGCAATTCGTCCTCATTAGGAGGCCAATCAAAGTATGTTTTTTCCATAGATAAAACCTCATTGCGAATCTCTTGGGCAACTTGATCAATAAGTTGTTCGATTGGTTTTGGATTATTCTTTTTTTCTAAGCGTTCAATTTTCTTTAAAAGAACTTCAATGATTTTTCCCTTCTCAATGGTATTGTTGTATAAAAAAGAATAGCCGTATTTTGGTGACCACAACTGAACAGACCCTTTAAATTGTGCAACAACAGAATCCTGCAAAGTCCTGCTATCTGGAATTTTTTCTCTATCTGTGCAGTTTTCGCTATAAAATTCAATTAGTTTGCTTGTTTCTATAATTTCTAAATTGTTTAAAATGTGCTCTCTTACATAGTCAAAAAGCAAAGACATGATTGTATTTTCTGTAATAACAGAAGGATTTCTAAGGGGTCTCGTGTAGTTAACATAACAAGATCGATGATAGTGTAACTCTAAGGAGATAATACTTTGCCACTCTGCGCCCGATACGCTAGCCATGAGTCTTGGGATATCAGATTTACATAAGGCATTTTCTTTTAACGTTTTTGCAGCATTTTCTGTTACGCACTTTGTTAGCGCTTCATATCCATTCCTATCTTTATTTGTCTTCTTACGATAGCAAATGCAGCATTCTTTATCTGCAATAATTTTTCCTAAAACAATGGAGTTATTTTACCTTTAAAATAGGGTAATACATATAACAGTCAAAAAAGGAAAACTGAGGGTAGCTTGTTTTGATTTGTATTTCCCGCCCAAAGGTTTTTAATTTACCTGATCTATCTCTTTTTCGAGTTGAGGTTCTGCGCTCAGATGTGAATTTATCAACCACGCATACACTATCGTGGGCTGTTTCTGCTCTACCTTGTTTATGTTGTATATTGCTTATTGTTTTTATATGTACGTATTTGTCGTAACATCTTTGATGAAACATGAGAGTTGTTGGGCATGTATCAGTTAGAACACTTATAATTTTAAAGTCTTGTCGAATCTGACTATAATAAAAAATATATATAATACTATTTACAAATCCATGCTATTAGTGATTTTTTAATTGTTTTAAAAATTTTATAGAGATGAATTAAGTTGCGCATTTAATAAGTAACTTACCTAGCATTCTTCACTTTCGAAAGCGCATTTTCAGTAAACCCACGTAGCTTGTCAATACAATTAGTATCTTTTCCTTGATGAAGTATGCAAGCATTATTAATTATTTTTGTAGCAACTAAACTGAGACTTTTATTTTCACTTGACATTATTTACTTAGATAATTTTAAATAAATAAAAACAAATAAACACGTTTATTTATTAAACAGTTTTTAAAAAGTAAACATTTTTTAAGTAGACACGAAACGGGAGCGGTTGCTTTTTCAAATTGTACCATTAAAACTAATTTTTAGTCTTAAAACGTTAATTAAACAAAAATAATGAATAAAATTTTATTTCAAACAAGCTTTAGAAAATTTTAATGTTATTAATTAAATAAAACATTTTAAAAACTTTTTATTTTAAAAATTGTTACCCCCCTGCAAATAATTTGTAAAAACTGAAATAAATGCTTTGCGGTTTTGATTTTTAAACAACATGGCGGAAATTTTAAGATGAAATCGCTTCGCTTAGCTTCTACTATTTTTGTCAATAAATAAAGTTATAAGCAGTTTCCAAGTGGCCCGTAAAGATTTTTTAACTTCTTAAAACATATAGAAAACATCTGTACAAAAATTAGAATGTTCACACAAAATGTTTAGTTTTCTTTTTTTTTTTACATGTAGCGCCCTGACTATAGGTGCACCGAAAGAATTTGCAAAGATTGGCATATGTGAGAATTGGCAAAAGTGCGAAATCCTAAACTAATATTTTAGTTTAGGATTTCGCACTTTTTATTTTCATATACTTATGGCGCACTTATGCCGTGTATACATATATATATATATATATATATATATATATATATATATATATATATATATATATATATATATATATATAGAGAGAGAGAGAGAGAGAGAGAGATTTTAATCAGAAAGATAAGTTTTTTTTGTCATATTTGATTTAACTTTAACAAGAGTTTTTCAATGTAAATCCTTCATTGGAGTTTGTTGGTCCATTAAAGTTTTTCTTGAAACAAATTTTTCTTGGAACCATCCAGGTTTAAAGCTCTATTGTAGATTCTTTGGTTGATTTGTTAGAACAATTTAGATCCTAATAAATCATCCAAAAAAAGGGAAGACGGAGATCAAGTACTTTCACTGTTGTATTAATTTTTTTTTATTTGGTAATTTATTATAGCTATATTTTAAAGTTTGAAAACTTGCTCCGAATGATTGATTGCCGTGTAACAATACCAGTTTGGAATTGGGCTAGTTATTCACATGTTATTTGGAAGTCGACACCTACGTATCACATGTGGGATGATGATGGAGGATTTGGTAGTGACGGTGACAAAAATATTGCTTACTGCGTTGGAAAAGGTATTTTTAGTGCAGAAAACTGGCAATTGTTAAGATTAGAAGATAAGGAAATTATTAGCAATGAAACATGTTTAGGAGAGGAAGAAGAAATAACAGCAGAGTCAAATAAATGCTTTGAGACGTCGCGTTTACCTATATACAACAAATGTTTACGCAGAAGATTTAATGGGGTTGTACCTAATATATCGGAAATAATTGATGTAATGATAAAAATAAAACCTGAGAACTTTTTAACATTTGAGAATACTCTTCGTCGATTGTGGCACAATAAAGTTCATAACAGAATTGGTAAGTAAACAAAAAGTGTTTTTCCTTAAACTATTTTAATAAAAACGATTGTGATGTAAAGTTTTCACAACTTATTTTTCAATAAGCTACCTGAAATCAAAGCAATGCAAAATAAAAATTGAAAAAATATTTTTTTAGGGGGCCATATGCAAACACAATATGCTGCATATTCTCCAGAGTTTTGGAGCCATCATGCAATGCTTGATGCAATATGGTCCAAGTGGCAAGAAAAATGTAAAAATTGCATAAAAAATAGTATTACTGAGTCTGAATTGCGTCTAATAGGTTTTAACACTTATCGACGTCATTATCTTGATATTTCAGCGCAAGGTGAATGCGGAGTTCATGTAATGTATGATCAAATTTTTGACATAAGTTTTGAATAAATCAAGTATTTAAATATAGATATTTGCTTTTATTATTAGTATATTCACACTGTAAAAAAAAAAGAAGTATCTTAGCAAACATTGCTTTAGTGGATTTGCAGTGGACCTATAGACATTTTGGGTTCATTAGGGTTTTGCTTATCGGTTACCTAGTGGACCATTAGTGGCAGCCGTTATAAATGGCCAGCCGTTAACTTTCTGACATGTTAATAGCAGTGGTGAAACTATGGGCTCGCAGGACCCTCAACTGCGGGAGGGCCCACGCAAAAGGGGGCCCATTTTCAAGCCTGAAAACTATTTCTATTTGATTCTATTAAAAGTTACGCGCTGAAAAACAGAAATCTTTTTTGGTTTGTTAATTATTAAAATTTAATCTTATTTTCATAATGTTTAATTTATTGACAATCCCTGTCTTGTTTCTTATATTTAAATTTCAAAGTTTTAAAAAATTTTTTTATCCGATCATTACTTTTAATTTTTACATTTAGTTAAACTTTTCAATGTGATAAAAAATTCAAATGAAAATTTTGTTTATAAAACTTTTGCTTTTGTTTTTTGTTGAGTAATACAACAACAACAAAAATCGTTAATGTTACAAATGATAAAATTGTTATTAGGCCTACTATTTTTTAAAAATTTTAAATTTAAATTTTAAATTAAAAATTGTGCTAATGATGGCTAGCCTTTAAGTGGAGCAGCTAAACGACGGAAGAAAAAAAAAAAAAAGAAAACGAATATAAAAAACTATGTAAAATTGATTCATTTTTGTTACCGGCAAAGACTAAAAAGGAAGAAACACAATCTGTCGCAAATACACTTAATTTGGAAAGTGAACAGAAGGATACCAGAGAGATTGACAGTAAAATCAGTGAATTACAAATAAATACAGTTTCTCAAGTTATCAGTTTTAAAACAATACAGTTACATCCAATTTGTCTGATCACAACTCGCTAGATCTCATTATAAGCAATGGAAATGAACCATTTAACTCTGCAGCACTTGTAAACTTTAAAGATCCTACTGTTAGAGGGCATTATCCAATCGATATAACTGATCCAAATAAAAATAAATTTATTGTTGCACTTGGATCATGTAGAGCAAAGGGACCTTTTCCGAGAGACAACAAAATTAGATGTTTTTCTGTCAGTTACTATAACACGACAACGAAGTCAGGTTTGACTATACCGGTGATTTGATTATGCAATTCCAAAAATTTAAATGCTGCACATTGTGAAGTTTGCTGGTTATTTAGTGATAGAGATAAAAGCAATCGTAAAAGTTGGAATGAAGGTATACAGGACTGGAAAGGGTTTTCTAAAAAAATTAATAAACATGCTAGCTCAAAATGCCATAGTTCGTCTTGTATAATATATGAACAATGGAAATATCACAAGACTTTTGGCTGAAAGTTTTAAAACGGCTTGTGAAAATTACTCTAAGTGTAGCCTGCAGTGGACAGTCATTTAGAGGGCACAATGAACATATCGGTGCGGTTTATAACGGCAATTTTTTAGAAGTTGAGCTCTTAGCTGGATTTTATGTAATAATGAACTTTTAAATAAACTTAAACATAACATAAAATATTTGAGTTTGGAAATTCAAAATGAAATAGTTACCGTATTATCGGAGCATCTTGATAAACAGATTACAGAAGAAATCAAGTCTGCATTGTTCTACTCAATCATTACTGATACTACTCAAGACATTACAAAGAAAGACCAAATAAGTTTAACTATCCGCTATACAAAAATAAATAACAATAGTGATGGCAATGCAACCAAGATATTAATAACTGAAAGTTTCATTGGTTATTTCTAGACACATGATCAATGAGCTGAAGGATAGTCTAATCAAATCCTTGAAGTTCTGAAAAAGAAAGTAATATCTTTACAAAAGTACAGTGGTTTACAGTGGCTACAGCAGAAAGGTCATTTTGAAAACTTAAGTTCAAAAAATTTTTAAAAATTATCTTCATAATTCAATGGGTCAAGAATGCCTCAACGATTCAGCCTTGTTGAGCATTGAAGTCTCGCTGGAAAAATTTATGGATATTGACCAGATCATTGACCAATTTGCAGATATAAAAAGTCATCGCAAGGACTTATCTTAGAATGCTCATCTGTTCTGTGTATAACAATATAATATGTATAAATATATGAATATATCTGATATGTATAATGCTCAATTTTTATGCCAAAACTTGCGTGAAATAATGAAAATTCGGAAAAAGAGCGGTCAATCGCACACGACGACAGCTCTTGTATGGGGGATAGGGGGCCTCTTCGAAAGCCTTGCGGGAGGGGAAGGTGGAGGCCAAAATTTGAAATTACGCCACAGGTTTATAGTGGATTGTCGTTAGATAACCACTTTTGGCGGCTTCCACTTATGTTCCGCCAAGTAACCTACGAGCAAAGTTACAGTGGACCAATCAAAATGCCTATATAGGTCAACTGAAATTCCGCTATACATTGTTTGCTGCGATAATACTAATTGTTTGGATACATAAGTAAATTTTTGGAAATATTATTCGGAAATCTTAAGGTTATCTTGTTACAAGTAATGTTCACTTGTTTAAATTTAAAAAAAAAAAGTAAATTAAACCAAACAAAAATAAATATATCGTCAGCCTGAAATACAACTCGGTGGGAAATAAGCTAGCGACCAGCTAGCTTTATAGCAGTTTTCAGGCGATTTTTTTTTATTTTTTCCTAATGTATTTAACATCCTTAAAAATTCAATTTTTAGAGTTGATTCTATTTTAATTATGAGAATAATTGAACTTTAAACATTGCGATTTTGTAGCAATGTTTCGCTAGCTATATATCGTATCTAGCTACAAAATATCAACAAATCTATTTTATAGCTAAATATCAAAAATTTTTAGACAGCGATTTTATTACGATATGATGCTAGCTGCAATAGTCAGTGGTACTTTAGCTTATTAAGCTAGCTATCCTCATAGCAAAGTCGTTGTCTTTATCTTTACAAATATCGATAGCTTTTCGCTATCTCGGTGTAGTTAAGGCGATTTACAAATTATTCGAATACTTTTATTTGGAATTAGCATGATTTTATGAGCGTATTAAGTACAAACAAAAGCTTTAGATGGTATAATTTTTTTTGCTTAAGATTTTTTTAATATTTAAAGAAACTTTTCTTTTTTTATATATAACTTTCAAAACCTTTTTACAGCCCGTAATAGTGAATCTAAAGAACACCGTTTTGGAGTCTTTAGATCAATACTGCTCATCGGCATTTACATGAATTTTGTTAAAATCTTTTGAAAAAAGTTCCTTAATTTACTACTGATCCCTGTTCTAATGGTTCTGACGTTTATTAACTATATATAGTTGTCAAAACACAATATTTCTATTAATTTTCACGAAAAATACTAGAATTCCGACCAAGATAGAGCTTATAATTATGGAAAATTGCCAATAGACGATCAGAACAGATCATATTGTTGAACTATAATGTTTATTTCACCTAAAAAACGTATTAATTTAAAATCTTATTCAAATTTGGACAAGCGATTGTTATTTTAAGATGATTTAAAAAAAAAAAAAAAGAATCTTTGGTCTGGGTTTTTTCGCTACAAAACATTTATATTTTATGATACCACAAATTTCTCATCTTTTCATAATTCAGACAGAACTTAAAAAAGTTAACAATCCCCGTGGCCAAATTGTTGTCTATATTGTTACGATTATAGCTAACTATTCGCTAGCCGATTTCCCACCGGGAAGTGTCGGATCGAAAATTTATTAGAATTTATTAGAATATTTATCATATGAATATTTAATAAATTAATTTATGTAAATTTAACATTTTGTTAATGAAAAAATTCATTTTGTATAACGTTATATTGAAATGTTATATAAAAATAATTTTTTACATTTACATAACTTTAAATTACATTACTTTACATAACTCTTTAAATTAACATAAATTTAATTTATGTTAATTTAAAGTTATGTAAATGTAAAATGTTTAAATTATTTATAAATATTTATTTATCTAATTTATTAAATTAGATAAATAAATATTTATATATGATTTAAAAAATTTTTCGAAACAACACTTGTATTCCAAGCAGACTATATGTTATAATAAAAATATTTTGTAATTTGAAAAATGTGTTGTTTTTTTACAGTGCATTTAAATTTTACAGTTTTACTTTTAAATTTTTCAGTGCACTTTTCATCTAACTTTTCTGATTACAAGATAATCAGAACGAAAGATGATAAGTATTTTATACATAATCTATTGATAATTTTTAACATGGCATGATTATACCAATTATTATTTCAAAGTAAATAAAAGTTAAACACTAAAAACAAATTTGTAGAGAACAGTTTGAAAATTTTACAAATAAGTAAGATAAATTCTACCAGATAGAAGATTTGGTAATTAAGTTAGACCGGGTAAGTTAGTCTATTTATTTAATAGATAAACAAAAATAGGTAAGTGAAACATTTTTTTAATTGAAGCGTATAATTTTTTATTGTATATTTTTATTGTAAAAGTTTTAGTAGACCATATACTATCCAACTTAAGAATGCATATTTGATTCTTTATTAGTTACCTTAATAGTTCCTAATAGTTTATTTATGTACATTTTTTATAGTTTTTATTAATTTTAGAGTAGAAAAACAAGTTGTTGTAGCTCAGCGGTCAGAGTTCTTTCTCAGAAATAAGAGGTCTGAGGTTTGGAGATGGCTAGATATGGTAAGATGTGAAAGATTAGAGTGTAAACTGCTTCAAAAAATTGAAGTAACACTCAATTTAAACTTATTGAATGAAATATCTTGTTGAACTATAACTTGATACATTACTTGATATTTTGACTGTTTTAGTGATTCTTTTGCTTATAATACCAAACATTTTTATTTCATCTTTTACTTGAATAAAAGATTTATCTTCTACTTGATTAAAAGATTCATCTTTTACTTGATTACATTTTTAATCAAATTAAAAGAATCGCCATAAATGTTATTGGAGGGCAAATAAAACCATAAATGTTGTTGGAGTGCAAATAAAGAAAAAAAAAGTGGTATATTGTATTTATCTTTTAATGAATACCTATTAGTGTACTTATGACAATACTTATTTTTCATGTAATTATAAGTTGTTTAAATAATGGAAAATTTTACTTGTTTACCGCTTTATGAAGATTTGAAACATTTTTTACTTATGAAAATTACAAGTGCAGCTTATTTCCAGAGATGTTCTTGGCTTAACAAGTAGTTATAGAAAACTATCTAAAATATCTACAAATTCGAGAAGGTAAATTTATAAAAGCATTGATTTTACAGGCAGTCCAACTATTACAAGTTATTTCTATTTAAGAACATCCCATGCAGTTTTCATATTTAATGCTTTATTAGTTACAATGCTTTTTAACACAACCCTCAAAAATTAAACTTTCTATGCGTCTTGCACAGAGGCGTCTCGAGGGAGGAAGGATGGGGGAAAATGGACACTGAAGTTGAAAAAATTGTATCTATAGTTGGCAGTCGGCAAATATCAACCAACAAGGGCCTTTTTTTTTTTTTAAGATCTTAGTCGGCAAAAAAAAGTTTCTAGGCCTTTGTCAGTAAAATACATATACGTCCCCCTTCTCCAACTTTTTTTCGGACGGGGCCTGGTCTTGTAAAATCTATTTTTAATGCCTGTTTGTTGCTGACCAGTTAGTTTAACTTTGCAAACAATCATAAATGCATTATGCTATTTTATAATCCTATTTCTTATTTCATAAATTATTTCATAATCCTAATTCATAATCCAAAATAAGTTTATAAAACATAAGTTTATAAAATAATTAGTTGATTTGTATTAGTGTTTAAAAGTGCATTAGTTATAATTACACGTTTTTCATTAATGCTTCTTTATAAAAACGCCTACTCATTTACTAAAAAATGCTTTTTTCTAAGTCTAACTAAAATGCTGCTTCCAGCTTATTTAAAGCTTCCTAGCTAATACAAAAATACTATTTTATAGAAAAAAAAGGTCTTCGAACACAATTCATCAACCTTATCGATAACAAGTTTGTTTATAGTGCCCAAATATGATTTTAGTCATTGCAAATTTTATTATTATTATACTAGAGTTTTTTATTTTATTATATTAGAGTTTTAACGAGTTGCCCAGATGCTTGTAAAAGTAAATGTCCAGGAAAAAAATTTTAATAAACTTGAACTTACATTTTCTATTGTTTCAAATATAACACTTTAGTCTACTCTTCTTTATTTTTAAAGAACAACTTAACCTCGAAAGACATCTTAGCTATTTAACACACTGAATTAAAATTTTAATTATATGTAAAAATATTAAAACATTTAAACATTTTAAGTATGATATAATAATATAATTCATTTTAATCAGAGATTAATACTACTAATAAAACGAGTAGGATGAATCCTTTAAAAGTACCGACTGGTTTCTTAAAAAATAAAAAAATTACTCAGAATACTTTGTACACTGCCTCAGCCAGTATAATAGCTTGTTGTCTAAGTTACATAATTTTTGTTTATAAATTTCTTAAGCATGTAAAATCTAAAGAAATTTGTTAGCTTACTATAGTTATGTTCCATTGCTATAGTATAACATACTTTGTATGTGAGTGTGTGTATGTACTTTTTTTTTGCAAAACACTAATAAATCTTAAAAAATATGTCACATAATATGTGTGTATATTTATATTCTGTTGAATTAAATTCGTTGAAAGTACTGTTATTCATATTTAAATTTGTTTTTGTTTAGCATTTCATAGGAGTACTATCCACGTTTATATATATATAAAAAAAAAAATTGATACAAGGCGTTTATATATATAAAATAGGTACGTTTATATATATAAAAAAAAAATTGATAAAAAAATTGATAAAATATAAATTATACTGAGTACTAGTTTTCAAATTTTATGGAAACAATAATGATTTACCATACAAAAAATTATAATATGTTCACTGAGTGCAAATTGCCACTAATAAGGTTTAAAAATCCGAAAAACACATGAAAATCCATAGTTTTTACAAATATGCAAAAATTATACAAGATGTTGTGTTACGTCAATCATGTTTAGTGCCTCTGGTCAAATTGTCTATGGTTATGTTTATAAAGCTAATCATTTATGGACAACAAGAGCCGAAAGTGAAAGAACTACCTAATGTACGTAAAATGTAAAGTAAAAAACGTAAAATGTAAAGTAAAATACGTAAAATGTAAAATAAAAGTACGTAGAATGTAAAATGTAAGTGAAAGAACTACCTAATGTACAATACAAAGTCAGGACGGTTTAATTTTATTCACTTTTTTGACTGGTTTGTTATTGTTTTTTTTTTTGTCATATTGTTTTAAGTTCATATTAGTTATAACCTAAAAAATTTTTTTTAATGAAAAAGTACTTGAATTAACTAAAGAAAGTAATATATTTTGCAAAGAAAACAGTATCTTGTTCTATAACTTGTTACTCTACCCATTTATTGCAACCTCTTGATTTTGTGATATTGAAGGTGAATTTGTGAATTTCTTAAAAAATATTGAAGGAAAATACTTGATCAATTAAAAACCTCTTGTTCAAAAAAAGCACAAACAATTACAGAAAAATAGATTTCCTTTGTTCTAACTTTATTTACTTATAAGCATTATATTCGTCAAATCAAAAGTCAATCAAATTAAATATGAAACTTAATTGTCGAATTATTATAATATAACTCATTAACAGCTCTAAAGCTTATATATCGTGGGTATACTGGCATAAAACGTTAATCAAAAACCTCTATTTAGAGAAATCAATTATTTAAGTTCCAATTTGAAACTTTTGAAAATTGCATTTGGTGTTGATATTTAAATAGTGTTTATTTAAGAAGTCTTTTTTTGAACTTCTATAGGACTATACTCAGTCGGTTTGCTTCAAATTATTTTAAATAAAGTTAGAAATCGTCCTCAATTTGTTCTTAATTATAGATCAAAATAACTTTTACAAATGTTTATAGACAAAGTCTATAAATTTTCTAAAAAACATATTTTTTTCACTCAAAAGTTATAAGGTTCTCCATTTAATAAGTGAAAGTAAATTAAAAAAATGACATGCTGGTAGTAATAGCTTTTTTTCGTTTATTTCTTTAAGGAATATTCTTTTTTTAAATATCTTAGCAAAAGCTAAAATAATTGCAGCACCGTTTTAAGTCCTCAATAATAAAAGGCTTTTAAGAACTTGACAGGTCTAGAAATTAAAGCTAAAGTTAGGATTCCATTATATAGGGCAATTATTTTATATTAAATTATATTACATAAAATCTTGGTAGGCATATTACATTTTAAATAAATTTTTAAACAATTTAACTGATAATCTTGCAGATATTTTGCGGAAATATCTTCATTGTTAAAACTAATAACTGTCTGACGACAATTTCTTGAAAAGCACCTTAACTACAACGAGTACCTTAAAAAGCTTCAACTGCATGACAGTTTATTTTACCTTTAATTTCATTTACTAGGTGGTAAAAAGAAAAAATAATTAAAAATAATAAGACGAACACCTTTTGACAACGGCTTATTACGATTATAAATTCATAATTAAGGAATATAGGATAAAAAATATTATTAAATGGAAAATCTTTTAAGATTCGTAAAGGTTAACAAGCTGTGATGTGCAATTTTTTTACCTTGGATCATATCTTATTGTTAAAAAATATATTTAAACATACACCACTGATGCCAGCAGTGAAAATTGTTTTAAGCAAAGATTTGATCCGAGTAGATGCCTAAACTAAAAAAAATTAATAGTATTTGATTAATTTATAACCTATAATTCTTTCTTTAATTACTATATTCGTTACTGTTTTAATCATTCTTTTGTCTTCTGAAAGTTTTACTTTATTTTGAAAAATACATAGTTAATTAATAGTATGTTTTTCCTGATGCTGACTCAATTGTGTTTGAATAATGACGTCGCAAAACATTCAATTTTAATTATAGTATATGAGTGAAAAAAAAAAAAAAAGATAATTAAAAAATAGGGCAGGATGACAGAAACGCAAAAATTAAACTGATTGAAAAACAGAATGTCACTTTAATTTAGGATAAGTAGAATAAATTAAAAACATTTTATTGGGTGTTTATACTTATTTTAAGTATTCTAAAAAATCTATCTACACTTCTTGCATGACAAGCACTATAAATTAATTATTAAACATCATAAGTAAAAAGATATATTACACTTCGCATAACTCATCTAAGGTGCAAAAAATTAGAAAAAAAAAAAAAAGGAAAAAAAAAAAAAAAAGGGGGAAATAAAAATTCTAATAAAACATTTAACACTGCAGAATGAATGCGTGTAGGAAGACCATGAATTAAAGCATTAAAAAATTAAGCATGATTCAAGCAAGATGAATGTGTGCATAAAAGAAAAAGTATAAAAAATTCGCGCCTAGATTCTATATTCAAACACTAAAACATACTTATAAATAACACAAAAAAAAATTTGCTAAAAATATGTCCCTGAACACAACTCAGAACACTATCTAAAATCAAAATATTTACTGAATCTTGATACAAGACTAGCGTCCAATATTAGCAGCTGGCCCAATTGCATTATCTATAAATTTAATAATACAATATTACAAGTTTAATGACATGTATGCGTTATATTAAAGATAAAATATCTAGAAAGTACCTGGATATATAGATAAAATAGAAAGGAGCAAAGAAATTAAAAATCTTTATCCCATCCAGTAACATCATCTGGGGGTATTTCGTCATCTTTTGGATAGTCATCGAAATTTGAAGCGTCTAAAGGTGACTTTATCTACGTGAAAGAAAAGTTAAAATAGAATTCTCATAATATAGTTTTATACAACAATTGTTCATAAAATTGAACATTTTGTAACCTTCTAAATAAAAAAAGTTGATACAAAAACAACTCACTTTAGGAATAATAGGAGGTCCTAGTTTACGGTTCTTTAACCCATCCCAATTAAAACCATCAAACCATCTATAAAAAAAGAAACATTTTTTTAAATTAGACAACTACATAAAACACAACAGTTTAAAGGGCTTGCTAAGATGAATTATAACGAATTTAACGAATCAACATTGTAAAAAGGTCATAAAATCATAGAAACTAGCCACTATCTTTTTAAAGAAATTAGATATTTAGTGTCTACAAAGTAAATGATGTACAAATGTAAATACACTTTTACATCATACTGCATTAATAACCTCGAGCAAACATCTTGATAATAAAACGTGCTCAAGATTGTGTATATTAAAAAACAGTTTTATAAACGCTGTTTTTGACAAGATACTAAACCTGTTAAGTTCAGAAACAAGGATACTAAAACAATAATAATGAAGTAATTATACGCATACAAATTATTTAATTTTCATTGCGTTTTTTATGAATTGTATTGAAAATTATTTATTTTAAAAGAAAACTAATAAATATTAAATTACTTGTGCTTTTGTATGTCCTTTAACCCATTTCTTTGGTAACCAAGTCGCTCTGATGGATTATCTCTAAAATATTATCAAATAATTCAGACTTAATTATTTTTAAAAATCTATTATAAAGTAAAGAGTTTTCTTACTTGCATAATTTCTTTATTAGGTTATGAGCATTGCGAGTTATTCTTCGAGGAAACTCAATCATATCAATTCCTTTCAAAATAATATTATATGTTTTCATTGGGTCAGAGCCAGAAAATGGAGGGCTGCCAGTTAGCAACTCATACATTAAAATACCAAGTGACCAATAATCTGCTGCAAAATCATGACCCTAAAAAATATTATTAAAAGAATATATATATATATATATATATATATATATATATATATATATATATATATATATATATATATATATATATATATATATATATAATGAATTTATTTATATATATATAATGAATATCAAATAAACACATATGAGTAAACTGTATTTTTTATGTAGTTATTTAGTGCAATTTTGTAAAGGGATACTGTTATTTAAAGCTATTTTAAGAAGGAAAACAGTTAATTATTTTGTAAGCATAAATTAAAACTTAAAATTTTTATTAACCTTATTTAAAATAATTTCAGGAGCAACATATTCTGGAGTTCCACAAAATGTCCATGTTTTTCGCCCAAAACCAATCTTCTTAGCAAAACCAAAATCTACAAGTTTGCAATAACCCTTATCATCTAACAGAAGATTCTCGGGCTAAAGTATAAAACAAATCATAAGACAAAAACAGTTATATTTAAACAAATTTTTATCGAGAGTGCTGGTAAAGTATAAAAGATAAATAAAAAATATATACAAAATAACATAAAAACAACGGACAAAACACTAATCTTAACACATTTATCTTTAAACTTTTTTATTACATTTTACAAATACAACTATTAATTTAGCTAAAAAAAAAACCCTAAATTTTACAATACTATAAAAACGTTAGCATACCTTGAGATCTCTGTAAACAATACCTTTAGAATGCAAGTAGGAAAACGCTTCTATCACACAACCAACATAAAAACGTGTTGTATTGTCATCAAATGAACCTCTAATTTCATAAAAATATTTTTTTAAAGAAAGGTGGCAAAATACATTCATCAGGTGGTATAAATTACATACACCAAAAAATTACTTTTTCTATAAGAATTATATAGCTTCCAAATAGAATGTGAAACCAGCCCCCAGGATCAAAAAAAATAATGAGGTCTGCAATAAATTCCTGACCTTAAACTGTTAGAGGTTGACAAATAAAATTTGAAACTAAGGGGTTACCATAAAACATAAAAACAAGGTCAGCCATATTTTGCCAACCTAAAATATTTTTAGGTCAACAGTAAAGTTGACATTGCTAAATACTGCCTGATTCCAAGGGCTGAATGTGGAACAATTAAAAAATATTTGAAAGAAGCACATTTGAAATAAAAAAATATTTAATTGTAACTGTAATACCTATCCCTAAGGATGGTCCACAATTCACCACCCAAACAAACTTCTAGCAACATGTATAAATACTTTTTATCTTTGAATGTTTTGTATAATCTAAAAACAATTTATAATTTTAAACCATTAAAAAAAAAAGACATTTAAATATTTAATTTTTTTAAAACTATGTAGTTATGCATTACACACAAACTTATACACACACATTAACTCACAAGCACACACACAAATTGATGTAAATAAAATATTGATACATTTAATATATTTCATTCATGTAAATAATAATCAAATATAATACAACTCTACCTTACTATAAAAGCACAATTTGCTTCAGACATAATTCGTTTCTCAGACATAATGTGATCTTGTTGACGAGTTTCTACTATATGTTTCTTTTTTAGTTGCTTTAGTGCAAAAGTGCGTTTATCATTTGCAAGTTGAACCTTAAAATTAATAAAGTACTATCTTTATATCAATTGAACTATTATGATGGAAAGGAAATCTTATGAAATCTCAATGACAGATGTATAGTATT